GCCGAAAAAAGTCGTCACCCATTGGCAATGGGCCGGCAGCCAGTCCGTCCGCCACATTGGCCACACACAGATTTTATTTGCTTATCCGGAATTTATGCTGCTTTTATTTGATTTTTATGCCTGGCCGTATTTTCATTTCTGTAATTGAATTGTCATTGTCCAGGCCAGGCCAAGTGCTGTTGCTGTTGGCTTTGTCCACTTGCTTGTGGTTGGCTAACCATTTGCTCTGTCGTTCCATCCGTTCGCATGTCGAACCATGTCAAAATGGTTTTGCGCTTGATTGGCGTTGGCCAACACCCAGAGGTATACAAAGTGATGGACGACCCCAGCCCCGACTGCCACTCCGACTCCGACTCCAACTCCAACTCCCGTGCCGGATCCGGCAAAAGGGTTGCAGCTGAAGTTGGGAACACGGAAATCGAATGTGGAAGTTAGAAGTGGTCATTCATTGGCAAATTGGTCCAATTGATGATGCTGGGCGAGGGCCGAATTGCCGCCCACATAAAACTGACACAGGCGGACACCAGAATTTTCTATTTTCTAACTTTGTTGTCATTTGACAAAGGGGAATTCGATTGCAACACATCATATCCAACTTTGGCTGTTTTATGCTGACTAACTGACTAGCTAACGCTTTGAATTATTCGATAAGTCGTGCCATCAATATTCCTCAAATCTGAGACAAAGCTAGATTTATATTATCGAGATATAACTGTTGTGAAATATGTATCTAAAATCGAAATATATAATTGTACAAATTTATTTTATTTTTATTCATTTAAAAGACTCAATATATTATTGACTCAATTATTATTATTATTTTATATATCTATAATTTAAGAGAATATATAAGGAATATATTATATATAAATAAATAATATTATTTTTATTTATTATAAGTTGAAAAAATATATATTTTATATTTTATTTGAATTATAAATTAATATTTTATTTATATATTATTTTAATATATTATTTATTATTTTATTGAAATCGAAATACATAAAGCTGAAAATTTATTTTATTTCAATTCATTTAAGAGATTCAAAAAAATTATTTAAAAAATATATTATACAGCTAATTTATTTTATTTTAATTCATTTAATAGATTAAAGAAAATTTTTAAAGAATATACTATTTAGAAGCGAATAATAAATTAATTAATTATTTATAATAAAACCTATATAATAAAAATATTAAATACTAATATATATGTATTAGAAAATAATATTTAAATGTTACCTAAAAAGTAAATATGCATATTTTTATTGCAGTGTAATATGTAGGTGTACGTGCATTCACATTATTGGTAAAAAATAAAAAAAAATATAAATAAATAAACTATTAAAGATTAATGATAAAAGCCAAACTAAATAAAAATTGGCATACAATTATTAAATTAATTTATTTGTCTATAATTTATTGCACTTACAACAACTTTTTATCTAAAAGGCGATTGGTCATAAACTTCTTGAACTGAAGAATTAAAAAAAAAAAAAACAAATTTATAAAGGAGTAAACCAACAAAATTCCGTTAGCTTTGACTTAACTTTCAGTTAAATTTAAAATAATAATATATATAAAAATATATAAATATAATATAAATTTCCTCAAGCATAATATACAAGTTAATTGAATATTTATTTGTACAGATGCCACAATGTTATTTGAAATGAAAAATTACATCACGCGAAATGTTTTCACAGTATATCAATGTAATTTACATTTTATTCGCGCATTACCATCCACACCTGTAATAATGCTCGATTTCTATGGCTCTCCTTTTGCTCGTTTCGGCTGCCCATTTTGAGGACAATTTGAGCAGTTTTCATATTTAAAATTCCCAAAATGGCAGTACGTGAGATAATAACAGTTACATTTAATGGATCTGCATATACCTACACACACATACTTACACATATATATACATATATCATATGAAGTGCTTCCAGATACTTTCATCACAAGGCAATTTGCGCTGCATAAAAAGCAGTCAAAAGATACAAAAACATATACAAGCCGTGTGGATATGTGGAAACTGTAAAGAAAAGGGTGTTTCTTGTTGAAAAGGGGTTTTTCTTGAGTTTTCGCAACAACCCCAGCCGCTGGCAAAGTGTATCATTAAACTTCCGCCGGATATGCCATTATGTAAGAACAGCAATTGGCATTTGCCGGAGTTCAGCGCTCCGAATGGGTATCTGAAGCCCATTTGCAATACCCAGTGCTATTGGAAAACATAATGCCATAATCGAATGATAATTTAATAAAGCCAAAATGTGTGCCGTCAACTTTGAATTGTGGCTTTCGGTATGCGTTGCTTAATTGAATCTGAGTAGGTTTTTCGACTCGTGCTTCGAGTTGGCTTTGCCAGCAACCAAAACGTCTAACGCAGAAACTTAACATATGCATATGTGTGAGTGTATATACATGTGTGTATGTGCATAATCAGAATGAATGTGCATCAAGGGAATTGAACTTGTGCATATGTAGATACATACATATACATATTTGCTATGCAATGCTCTGCTATGCTCCCGGTGAAGGTGAACAGGCCATGAAATTTGTTTCCTTATCTCTGCTCGAGTAATTCACATTGACAATGGAGCACATGTTGTTGGGCCTCATCCCAGCCCCTCTCACCTCACCTCGCCAAGCCACTTGAAATTTACGTGTTTCCACTTGCTATTCAATTTGCATGCACTCATGAATAATGCACCAGACGCATAAAAGTCAATCTCAGTGCAATAGCCCAAACTGCCCAACACTACCAAAGGAGCTCAAGTCAGTTATTCTAATGGACTTTAACTAAAAAATTCATAGGCAATAGCATTTGCTGGGAATGAACAAAGTGTAATCTATCTAGGAACTCAGGCAATATGAAGTAATAAAGATAAACATCAAGCACTAAGCAGGGTATTTTATGGTCAAATATGGAATCGGATTACGCTATCTTAGGCTGGAGCTATTTGTTTCCCCTAACACTTATGAAATAGTATTGCAATTTAATAGGACAAAATCATATTGTAAAGCGTAAAGCGTTAAAAGTTATATTAAAAGAGCTACGACTATGTTATTCTATACTACTGCTGCTTCACCTATGCTTTGCTTATTTTTAGTCAAACTCTATTGTGAGGAATTCTTTTTTGTGTAACGGTTCTAGAATCTCTAATATTTAACAGAGAGTACTATCAATTTTGTAGAATATATATGATGAGAGAAGTACAAAATAGTTGTTGACGATACATCTTGCAAAGAACATATACAAGTAATATAATAATATAAAATCATATATGTGTTAAAAACTATTGCTATCATCAGACTCTCTTACAATACTCATTAAAAGCTGCAAATTTTGCGCAATTACTCGAAAGATTTTTATTTCCAAGTCGCCAAGGAGCAACAGCACATCATGAGAATAATTGTGTGTATGTGTGTGTGAGTGTAAATATTTGGTTACATAATGAATGGAGCTCATTCGTCCAGCTTGGATTCGGGGGAGCCCACTCGAAAGTCTAGGCAAACAGGACGCACACAAATTGTGGGCTCATGTAGTGGTAAGCCACAAGAACCTGGCACTGTCAATTGGCTGACCTGACAGGAAACCAAATTTAAGCTCGATATGGAGATGGAGTCGCTGTCGGAGAGTCGGTGAAGATGCTGGAGACGTTGTTGCCTGAATGCGCACGACTTGCTGTCGAGCTCGTATTAAAAATAATATGCAAAGTGCGGGGACCTGTTGAGATTTTCACAATTCCCAAAACAAATAACATATTCACATATTGTTGCTGGGTCCGGGCGACCACGAGCCACGTACCAAATACCGTACGGTATGTCCTGCTCGAACTCGAGCGAGCTCAGCCGGCTGTCGACTTTTTGGCCTCTGCCAGCATTGGGGGCTGTTTATGATTTATCATCGCCAACGCCAAAGTTATTTCTTCAAGATTAAAATGAGGATGCTTTTAACTGGCACACGCACACACGCACACACACACATAGAGAAAGTCTGCTTCATTTGCTTAATGTGACAACTTTAATTTGGCAGCCGCTGCTAAAGGAAACGTGCAAAGTGTTTTTCTTATATTTAAGAAAATAATATGAGTCAGAGACATTTCAGTAAACATATATTTCTATACTCCCACACACAAATATAAATATGTATATACATGCATACATCTAATACATATGCTCTGTTAGTTTTCGGATATGTTTGCCCAAGGTAGTTCTCAACAAACTTCGGTGCAGCTGAACCCCACCTCAGAGTTTGGCCGTGGCACAAAGTTTTTGGGCGCTGAACTTTAGTTGAGCCAAACTAAAGTTGGCCCCGAGGCTGGAGCAGTGCAAAGAGCAAAGCAAACATAGAAAGCCACAGCGAAAACCCACAGAAACGCAAACCCCACACATTATTAATAATATTTATGATTGAGTGGGCGTTCTCATTATAGTATAGCAGACTCAGGAGAAGCAGCTCCTGTTCCATTAGGACAGCAGAGTCAAGACAGTTGCTGTGTAAATTAAAGATAGATGCTGAATGCTGCCCAGTCTTGAGAATATTTGATGCTAATAAATAAGTTCACAGTCTATGCATTAACGAATCTCGAACTAAATTAAATAATAATCGAATCTTTAATCAGATTTATAGCTGATGTTCTACATTATAAATATAATAAATAATTTATTTATTATTATTAATTGAACTTAGATTGACTATGATTATAAAAAGAAATATTTGTTTAACCTGGTATGGTTCAGAAGAATACTTTATTTATTATAAATCTTTTTTTAACTGATATGATTTATGAAAAATAAACTGAATTAAACATAGATAGGTTATATATTACAACACACATTCGTATATACATATTTATTTACCATATGTAGGCAGTCATGCATGGCCAGTTAAAATTGTATAGAAATAAAGTACCAGAACACCGAGTGTATTAAACTGGTTAGAAACTGTATGCTGTTGTGCCGTTGTCTTATTTGCATACCTTTGCCATAACACACAGGCATACATACATATGTACATATGTACATGTTCGCACATCCATTAATCCGTTGCAAGCCCAATGCACATGGGAACAAGGGAATTTATGGCATAAAAAATGGATTTGCGATGTTTTTGCTGGGCAAATTAAATTTATTGCCACAGATACTTATACACCATTGTTACACACGCACACACACACAAGCAAACGCACATGGGCACACGTGTCCCTGAATTTCTCATGCAAACAGGTACGCTAACCGAGCCACGCCCCACGCATCCGCCCACATTTTCATGCGTATTCACTGGGCGCACAGTGCACAAATTTATTCGTCGCTCTTCGTGGTTTCATTTAACGTGGCATTTGAATGGAAATGGAAAATTATGAAGCGACGTGTCCGGAACTAAAAAAAAATACAAACAAAATACTCGCTGGCTCTTGCTCGTGCCCACATAACAAATGTACCTGCCTAAGTGGCGCAAAAATGCCAGGCAACATTGAAAATTAAAAAAAAAGAAGATTGTTGAAGCTTGATAGACCAAAAAATACCCTATATAAAACTTTAATGTGTTTGTATTAAAAAGTCAAGCAGTCTTAGAATTTACGGTAAATAATAAATATCAAATTAGTTATGTACTTGCTTCAATAAACAATTTTATATATTACTTTAATTTAAAGCCAATATGTTAAGCCTGAATTTTAATGTAAAGCAAGCAGCGCTAAGATCCTTCGCATTTATACTCATTATTTATTTGCGCTCTCATTATCCTCTCTCATTCCGTTCGTCAGAAGCTGATTCACGCTTCGCTCTTCGATTGAAGTGCTCTCTCTTTTACTAGCTTCTCTCTTTTTCTGCTTTTCTGCTGCACTCTCAATGTTATTATTAAGAGCGCCTCTCTTCAGTGAAGTTCAACGTTTCTGTTAATCTATTCTTTTGGCTGGTGGCTTCAAAGCTTTAATATATGTAATTGCGAGCGCAAATGCAAGTGAGTAAAACAAAAAATCATGACGCGCATTTTATGACAAATATATATGTACTTTTTCAATCTACCCGCTTGTCACATTTAAAAGTGGGTATAAACTCCGCCTCGCCAACTGCACGCTTTTTGGCTTTTCAAGCACCCGCCCTGTTGCATTTTGACAATGAGACAGCGCGAGACAAACGAGCCCAATCCCGGGCCACACCCCCTTACGCAGCCACCCCGTCCCATACCACTACCAGCGGCTTGAGAGGGGGCTGGCTAAACGGAATAAGCGTTAATGCTTCGTTTGAATGAATTTTTGATTGCGTTGTTTACGATTGAATTTACTTCCTGCCTAGCAGACCCCGAGTTTGAGTTCGGCGGAATTTCGCAAATCCGTGCTACATTTATTATACGAGCGCGATATTTTTTGTTTTCGCAGTTGTTTTTTTTTTTTAATATACCGGAGCAACCTCCTCCTGTGTGTCGCGGCTCTGTGAAGTTGCGCTTAGACGCGCTCTTTGTTTGTCCCGTTGTTTGCAAGCCCTGCAGATAACTGTTGTTTACAGCAATGACAGCCACGCAAAGGCAGCAACCGTGAGTCTCTTAAGAATTGGTTCGAAAGCACGTCGGCTGATAAACGTAATGGCAAAGCAAAAGCACGTAAGTACTTTGCCGAAATAAAGAGATGAGAGAGAGAGGGAGACAGAGAAAGAGAAGGGGAGCGAAGCTAACGTTAAGTACACTTCACATTCAATGAGGATTTGCGAATAAAGCTCACTTGGCATTCGAATATGCGATTAAATAAGCGATAATTTCTTATATGAATAAATAACTGAATGGAAAATTAAAGATGATCAGATTATGAGAGTGCGGCAAAGGGAGTGCTCACATACACATACACAATTACAGTAGCATTTACAGTTACAGTTACCGTTCTTTTGCTTTGGTTTTCAATTTTTTTGCCATTCAGTTTCGAGTTTGCCCTCTAAACGGGTCGCTTGATGGTGTTATATAATCGCATTATTCGACTGGCATTTGGCACCTTCTTCCGAACTGCCATTACGAATGCTGCAAGCGAATCGTGTAACGGGAAACCAATTAATCTCTATCAGTTGGCTCGTTGGATCAAGTGGCAAGACATTGACTGGATTAGTTGAGGGCCACAAACGGATGAAGTGGCCTAGTGAGTGGCCGAAGTAGCATCTACGACTCCCTCGAGTGCAATCCGAAATGGACGCCAATGAACTGAATGCCAAGCAAAAGCCCAAAGATGACTTCGAATCAGAAAACAACGATTGCTATTGCCCTCGCCCATTACCAATGGCCTAAAGGGCGCTTCTATGAGCCAGGGCCCAGCCTGGCAATCGCATCCAATTGTACACCACGTAGTATGAGTAATGAGAGCGACCAATGCGTAACGTAACATGAATGCGACTCCGGCGTGTTTTGCAAAGGGCAAAAACGATTTTACGCTTCAATCAGTTTTGATTTAAATTACAATTATTAACTGCAAATTCGACAGTTCATTGGGGTCGTCAGACAGAGAGTCAGTCTATGCAGTTAAGCAAGAACTTAGATATACATTTAGATATATGTATATAGGTATATAAATATATTAAGTATAGGAGCTTCAGATTCACGTCTTTAATTGTAGAGTGTTCAATGCATTGCATAAAATTTAATATTCTTACTATGTATAGGAAAACTTACTATATAAATCATTAAAACTGTGATTGCAAATATCTCATTAGCTCCAATAATAAGTTTGTATGTACAGTATACATATATTCACCTGATACAGTAATTTTTCCTATTCATAACTCAAAGCACACAATTTGCTGCCCTGCTTTATCTAGCTTGGGAACTGCTTACAAAATATTTACCTTTGCTTATCTCAAGAGTTTCTGTACAAAATAGCAAATGAACTATCCGAGTTGTTGATATCTACGTAATTTTACCCTTAGGTCATTTCAATGTTAGAGTTTAATAGTTTTATTATGATACTCTAAATTATGATTATAAATTCTAGTATAAAAATCATATTTGATGAATATTTTCAAATTTAGCCAATTCTAAAATTACCCAAAATATATGAATAATTAAATTTTAGTACAAGCTACAGGGTATCTCATGGTCGAGCATTGTCGTTTACTTGTTTTGCTAAACGATCGTAAAACAAATTCGCAGCTTCCGTTAACACTGCAGTGAAGGGGGCTTTAGGGGCCGTCATAAATTATGTTGTGTTTATTTACATTCAGCTTCCACATTTTATTGACGAAGATCAGCCACACAAAGTTTTATAGAATACTCGTGTGCAGGCATACGAATGTACGTATGTATGTATATTCATACAAAAATACATAAATACATATGTATATGTATGCATAAAAATATCATTTATAGTTAGTTTAGATTTAATTACAATCTTGCAAATAGAATCTGATAACACTTTGCAAAGGCAAAGGCCTTTGCCCGAGGGCTGTAACTAAAATGGACTTATGGCAATTAAAATGCCACCCACACCAGCTGATTATCAGTTGTTGCTCTTGACTGGCTGCGTCGCTGCACTGGCCTCTTCCGTTGCAACGCTCTGCAAGGGCAGCTTCTCCTCGAACGTTTGCAGTTCCTTGAGTCCCGCCTCGGGCAGAGCGTGACGGCCACTGTTCCAGGGCTGCAGCGTGGACTCGGAAAAGAAAACGTAGATGACGCCGCTGCCAATGAGCATGGCGGCAGTCAGCATGAACACATTCTTCCAGGCCTCAATCGTTTGCTGCAGAAGAGAGTCGTAATGAGTGAAAGCTTAAACTTTAACTGCGTAATGCTCACATTGCCCTGGGTTAGGATGCCCACTATGTAGGGCGATATAAAGCCGGGCATGCCGCCGATCATGCCGCTCACTCCGAGCACAATGCCAGCATAATTGGGCGACAGATCCACCATCGAGGCAAGTGGGCCAGAGGAGACGGCGCCATGGAACATTGTGGCCACGGCCACCAGTACAATGGCCGCTGTTGCATTATAGCCAAAGTAGGCCAGAGCCAGCACCACCAAGCCCTTTACGCCACAGCCTGTAAGCAACAACAAATATTAAGAATATACCTAAAGCGAATTTTGTGTGTATGCATGTATGTATGTAAATATGTCTGTGTCCGCTCCCACCACCAATTCAACTCTTTATTTGCTACTCTTCCTTATTATCTTACGCACTCACTGAGAGAGCTTTCAAGACTAGTGTGATCGAGCGAGATGGACGCTCACAATTAATATAACATTGTCTTGCTCACTCCCCTCACTGCTCTCTAAAATATGCATAAGTATGTGTACATTGCCTTGTTGCCCTACTCTCACAACTTTCTGTTATTTTTGTGTGTGTGTGTACATATACTCCTGTTTACCTAAGCAGCAATTAAAGCTTTTACATCTTCCGTTACATATCTTCTCTTCTGAGTGTGAAGTAAATCGTTCATAAAGCTCGTAAGAATGTCACTTAAGCATGACTATTTGTGGATTAGCGAAGAAGAGTAATAAAGCATGCATATACACTTGCATACGAGCGTATAGGCACTTATACGTATGTGTATATATGCATATGTAGGTATCTATGAGTTGCGTTGTTGCAATTGGTGCAAGCTCAGATTGTAAAAGCTACATTACTTCATATTATATCTCTGGACTGTGACTACGTAATTAGATACGTACATATGTATAAGCACATACGTATTTACATATCAAGAGTATATCTATATCTAGTAATTGATTTGGATTTTCCTTGTGACATTAATTTTCCACTTACAAACTCCCGTCGCCAGCTTGCGAACATTGGTGCGGCTCAGACGATCCGTGCGTAGCAGGTAATCGGCAAACATGGAAAAGCAGTAAGCGAAAATCATGCGCATCAGATGTGGCATGCCCGAGAGGAAGCCCGTCTGCAAGAGATAAGAAGCAAAGTTTTATCAATAGCAATAGCCTCAGCTGACACAGATTAGCTTACTGCACGTATGTCCCAGTGATGGATCAGGCGGAAATACGTTGGTCCATGTGTCATCAGCGTGAACAGACCCCAGATGCCACCCCACTGAGCCACCACATTCATCCAGACGGGCCTCGAGGTAGCTATCTGTCGCCATGGCGTTGGACCTGGTGAACTACTGTGCACCGACGCCCCCAGCGACTTCTCAATATAACGCCGCTCCGATTGCGCTATGCGTGGATGCTCGGCAGGGCTGTCAAAGACCAGGAATTGCCAGGCAACGAACCACAACATCCCGAATATACCGCAGATATAGTATACCCACTCCCAGGATGTCCAGGCGATGACATAACCGAATATGGGATAGAACATTGCCACGCCCACAGAGCTGCCCAAATAGGCGCTAACGAATTTACTGCGCTCGTTGGGCGGAATCCATTTGGCAGTCATCACATGCATCGAGGGCCAAGCCAAACCCTGAAAGAGGGTATGAAATACACATATGAGATTTTGGATAAAAGTTTAGATATGTGAAAATCGTAATAAATAATTTTTATATTTTTTGTATACACTTACAGTAACGAGTCCCTGAAATACTCGCAGCCAGAGCAGAGCGGAATAGCTCCAATAGGAGAATATCGGAATTAGAAAGCAGCAAAATACCCCAACGCCATTGGCCAGTCCAAAGACGAGCTTTGTGCCATATTTACGGGCCAGAATTCCGCCGGGCAGCTGCAACAACCAATGCACCCAAAAGAAGGAGCCCAACAAATTGCTCTGCTCTTTTTCATTCCAATGGAATCCATCTCGCTCGTAGTCGATCTGCAGATATGTGGATCAATGATATTACAATTAAATATTAAAAGCAATAGAATTAAATATTGGACCAATGACAAGTTACAATATGGTAAAGAAATCTTGATATCTTCAGTCATTCTATGAGTTAGTTCAGCCACTCCACTCTTACTACTCTATCGTGAATTCAGACCCGAAGAATCGATTCTTCGTCTGGCGCCTCATTTCGAAATACGTAATTAATTATCTATGATTTTAGATGCATTTTATTAGCTGTGCGATAACACAAAAGTCAGACAGACAAATCTCCGAATTCCCAGATTGAATGGGTCAAAGTATAAACACCATAAATACAACTACTTTATAAAGTTAATCAAACCAATTGCAGATTAAATATTTCCCTATGCGTCACATATGCATCACGCAACCACTCAATCAATCAGTGACCCACTCGACCAGAAATACTCACTTTTGCCCAATCTAGAAACTGACGCTCCCACGAATATCGCTCGACTCGATCGGTGCTGTTCGCCGTGGCTACGGCAGGTGCGACAGAGGCCAGGAAGTCCGATTTGTTAGTGCCCAGCGCATTGATGGTGGCATTAGTGGGCGGTGCTAAGGTCGTTCGCCCATTGACGCCGGCGATCATATCGACAATGGTGATATTCAAATTGATGCGCAGCATATAGTTGACAATGAATCCTATGAATGTCATGTACCAGAGCACAGTGCGCGCCTCGACTGCAATGAGACGAAATGATAATATTTGAAATGATAATGATATGGATGCACACAAAGAGACACCTTTCATAGGTGATTGGCCATTAGCATAGCTCGGCATTTGCCGCAATCGAAAACAAAACGTGAAATGAAATGTGAACCGAACTGCAGTAGCAATCGTTGCCAAGGCAGCTTGTGGTTATAGCAGTTGGATCTTGAACCAGATCGCAAAGGCCCAGATCCACATGATTTGTCTTTGGCTGAGGGCTGCAGTTGAGCGAGACAAGATATAAGCCGATCTTACCTGCCATGATATGATAGTTATATCCAAAGATCACGCCTTTAAAAATTAACTTTGGATATTTCCGCGCTTAGGATACTCTCAACTAGATCTTTCCGCCACACATCCGTTCGGTCTCTGGCAGCAGCTGTATCTATTCCTAGGCACTTTGTAGCTAGAGCCACCCACTAACCCATCCACACATCCCACGCAACTGATAAGTGCACATCGAGCAGCTTTATGCTGCAGCTCTCAGCTCCGTTTATCGCGACGATCGTAATCTCGTTTATAATACTACATGGGCTGCGGCCAGATTAGCGATCGTCATATCGTGCGCTCGCGTACGCTTGCCGACGCGCGAAGATCAATTCTCTCGGTGTTAACATATCGTCTGGGTCGCTTCTTGACATCTCTTTTATCGTCTGGCCGATTCACACATCTCCAAACACAATCTTATCTCCTGAGGTGCACAAGGAGCGTGTGATTTGTTAAGAAGGTAAACAATGAGTTTTCAATTCGTAACCAAAAAAGTTAAATAAGTCTTCCATTTGTATGCGATAGTTGGAGGAAACGAAAACAAACTGTGCAAACACAAGATAGTTTTGCAAACTCTTTTCCTACTCTATTAAATGTAAATATTTGAAATCAGCGCGATCTATAGTGTATCCAAAAACTGATAATGTAAGTAGATAACATTTGTTTGCATTTGTAAATATTACAAAAAATCTGAGAAAAGGTTCAAATGTTTTCTTCATTATTGCTCTGATAATTCAGGTTAAAGTTAAATGTGATCGGCGCTCTATATATTTGCTTGATCTATTATATTTATTGACCTTAATAAATGAGTAACCTAAGTGCTCTAATTCCAATGTGCTTTTAGTCAATAATATGATATGATAGTCTAGTATAGTAAACCATGCACACATCCATATCTTATGATCTCATCTCATCTTCCTTACCTATTCATTTGCTTCCTCACACTATTTACGTATTTTAATGTTTGAGGTAAAATTGTTTACGATTTCAAATTTCTCTTTTAAGTGAACCCCATTACAATAATAATATTAATAAAATAAATAAATAATAAAATACTTGTAAATACTTTGTCAAACTTCAAAAGTGCATAATATACGTAAGATTGGATGATTCCAAGTGATTCCATGGATCCCTTAATTATTCCTTTGAACCGATCAGCGCCTACTTTAATCTGATTGCTTAACTGTCTGATCGCATCATATTCATACTCATATTCATATTCACATTCAATCTCATTCATAACACAATTACAGTTGGTGTATTTGTATTCTGTATACATATATTAAATTCATTTGTTGTAATTGAAAATCAAGTCACAATTTCAATATGTAATTCTATTAATTCTCTTATTATGTATATTACTATGTATACATAGATAGTTATTGATGGATTAGCCATTGGGATCGCACCAAACAGCATTCACATGCAGATCATTCATTTCATGGCTACGTGATAGGCTAGCGTAAGGATTAGATGTACGAGTAAAAACCTAATGTTTGAAACAGTTTTGCACACAGTTCCGGCATTTAGTGGCGCTCGATCAATCTCTACCCGTCGAGCTCATCCGGGCGCTATGAGCTATGAGCTGGGCCGGATGGGTAAGAAACAGTAGCTGGTTGCTATTTAGCTTGGTGCTAACAGTTGTGCGCGTCTGCCGTCGTGGGGGACACCGTCGAAGGGCGCGCTCCACAAGTGGCTTCCCACAGACGGCTCAACATTCACCCGACATTCTCGTAGGACATCGCTGGGCGGTCCGTGCTCATCGCAGCGGCACTGGCAGCACTGCCAAAGATCGTTGGCGGATGGTGCTGCTGTGCCTGCTGCTGCTGCTGTTGCTGGTGGGGATGCTGTTGTTGCTGCTGCTGCTGCTGCTGCTGCTGGTGTGGATTATGGGCGTGATGCTGCGCCGGCGGCTGTTCGCTGCGCAACTGGGCCAGCGGGAACATGATATTGTGCGCCATCTGTGGATGATGCAAGTGCTGCTCATTGGGGGGCGGCGGGGGCTGCTGGTGAGCGGCGTGCTGCTGCTGATGGGCTGCCTCTAGCTTGCGCTGCTCACTCTGCTGCTGATGCACCTTCTCGGCGCTCTCCTCGTACTTCTTCTGCAGCTGAAACAGTGGCATCTGCTGTGGAGCATGCAGTGGCACCGGATCGACCTGTGACTGCGGCGACGCTTCCTTTTCGCCCTTCTCGTACTTCTTTTGCAGCTGATACATGCTGTGCGACAGATGGGCGGACGCGGAGCTGCTGCTGCTGTTGCTGCTCTGCTTGGCGGCAGAGGAGGTTGAGGCCGAGGACTTCTCCGCCTTGACTGGTGACTTCTTTTGGTACTTCTTTAGGATTTGCATCAGCTCAGACTTCACATCCAGCCGTATTTCCTCTGGCACTCGTTTGATCTCCTCGTACAGCGAGAGAAGGAACAGCTTATCCGGATCACGCTGCTTGCGCTTTTTGCTCTTCTTGGGAAACGCATCTTGCATGAACTGCAGCAGCTTCTCCTCAAACGGCGACTCCCGCTGCAGTGACGCATTTGTGTGCTGTCGCCGCAACAGATGCGGATGCAGACCACCATGAAAGGCCGGATGCTGGGGCATGCCAGGATGCGGCTGCGTGCTGTTGCCATTGCTGTGCTCGCCACCTCCGCCCCCATTATGCGGCTGCAGCTGGGTCACGTTCTGGCCCTGGTAGGAGCCACCGTTCGAAGAGCCTGGCGCATCGTTTGTCTCGCCATCATTGGTGTGATGATCCTGCGGTTGCTGGGCACTGTGCGACTGGGGATCCTTAGGGTGTTGCATGTGCTGCTGCTGCTGTCCAGCAGCAGCCGTCAGTATGGCATCGCAAAAGTGCTCCGGCACGTAGTCGAAGCCAGTCATAAAGTTCTCCGGCTTCAGCTCCCCGTTCATTTCCTCGTAAAAGTACTCTGTGCCCACTATATCAATTATGTCGTTATCCTCCTGGTTCAACTCAATGCCCGGTGGCGGCGACCCACCGGACAGCTGGCAACGCTTCAGCTCCGCCAATTTCTTTCGGGTCGTCAAACGCATATCGCGCCAGCACTACAAGAGAAAGAGATTAGGAAAACGAAACCTTGGCTGGCATAGATACTCACCTTCTTCCATTGGATGATGGTCTTCTTGGGCCCGATGGTATTGAGCGCCGCTTGGATCTTCTCCCAATACCATTCCTTCTCCTTCTTGCCCTCCATGTATTTCGTCTCGCGCAACAATGTGATGAGCATCTTCTTCTGCGGCTTTGTAACTCGATCCTTTAAAATATGGAAAGTCGTGATAATTGGATTGCAGGGCAGAGGCAAGAGTAAGACGGTTTCTCATATCAGCCAAATTACAACTGCATTTTGCAATTACTTCATATTGCTATCGCAGTTTACATCAGCTGTTATGTTAACATTGTGGCAGCTCTGTTAAATAACAGAATTGGCATTGAATGCGGAATTGTTTGTATTTTCCTTCATTAACTGTTCAGATTTAATTGCAAAATACCATCGTGTATATCTCCGCGAATTATCAAAGGTCAAATGGAGAGCAACGGAAATGAAGTAAGTTCACGTTTAGCAGTTCTCCGTCGCAATTTCACGAGACGCCCTTCGCGTTTGGATAAGGGCATTAAAGCCGGCATTACGTCTTAGCCAAGTCGCAGCTTCTGGTTAACAATCGTAATTATAACAACATTGATTGCCAAATATTCACAACCAGAGCATTTACTGGTTACGCGAGTCCCAACGGTGACCCCCACCTGTCTTGACGGACCGCTAGACAAGCAGCGTACACAATTTATAGAATTTTATACCATGGACGCACGCAGTACACACACCAACACTGGCACACTGGCAGACTCACACACACACACTGGATACTAGGCACAGACAAGCGATTTGATTGGGATTTTGATTATGAATCCAACTAGAAGCAGCGCTCACTGCCTTCTTACCATGTTGACGAGCTTCTTTAAGAATCTGCGTTGGTTGGAAATGTTGAATGTTTTGTTTCCACTGCCGCTGACTATTTAACAATCAAATTTAGCACTTTTGTTTAATTTTTCACAGCTGCACTCCTCCAACATTGTCGTAGTCGCTACTCTGTAGCTTGGCTGACTATGTGTGTGTGTGTGTGCGTATTGTTGCTGCTATGTGTGCGACTGTATGGGTTTGCGCTGTGCGTTCGTCTCGTTGACGGTCTCACCAACGTTCTGTCTCTGTCTCGCCAGTGCGCATGCAACCTACCAGCGAACGACTGTCAGTGTCGTTCTCTTTGTCGCTGTGACCAGACGTCAGTTTGACGTTTGTGCCAGCCAACCAGCCCAATTGGAAATTTACTACCCTCTTGTTAGATGTTATAATAACAGAGTTATTTTGTTTTGAATGTAAGAACAAAAACTAGAGATTCACTTAACATAAGATATCAAATTAAATTTCGAATTATTCTGTTTCCGTTTTTGGATTTTATAATTAAACAGAAATTCCTTTGTTCGTAATTTATTGTTGTTGTAATGTGCAGTCCGATTTCATCTGCATATGAAATTGTAAAAAATATACTTTCCCGCCAAATCCTCAAAATGTAAAGCATAAACATGATTTAGTTCATAATTAATCATTATTATATTTTAGAAGATATAGAAATGTAGAGTATATATTCTGAAATATATATCAACTTATTTCGTCATGCAGAAAATTAAAAAAGTTTACATTATCAAGAAAATGAGAAATGCCTGATAAAAGTTTTCCCGCCAAATTTTAAAAATCTTAATAAAAATCCTTGTTTAGTTCACAATTATTTTATATTTTTAAAGTTACAAAAATACAGAATACTCTTAGGACTATAGAAACCTTATATCTTAACGGAAAATAGTAAATAGGTATATATTATAAACAAAATCAGAAATGCCATTCTTCGAACTAAAAATAGTTTGTAAATATTTCAAAAAATTATGTGTAATTGATATTAATCGAACGAAAATACAGTAAAGTATATATATTTAGCGTTTAGCTACGGATCGGCCAACAGTTCGCGTAATCGTAGAGACGCCCTCCACGAATTGAGTGCGAAACAGGACGTTGGCATGATTGAAGAGGCCATCCTTCAGGGAGACGATGAGAAACTGCGAATCCCTGAAATGTTGCTTCAACATGCTGCCAATGTTTTGTGTATGCGACATGTCCAGCGCAGCATCCACCTCATCGAGAATATACAGCGGAGCTGGTGAGAACTTCAACATGGCCAAGACGAGCGATAGCGCCACCAAAGATTTCTGGCCACCAGACAGCTCGCCCAGACTCTCCTTGAAGACGCCATTGAAGCCGACCTTTATCTCGAGGCCACTCAGGACTCCGTTCGTCTTGACAGGATTGAGTAGTGCCTGGGCACCCGGCAGGAGTGTACTGAATATGCTGCTGAAGTTCTTAGTTACCGCCTCCCAAGCGTGTTTCACCTGATCCTGTTCCTCCTCATCCATTTTGACAATGATCTTCTTAATCTTCTCTTTGTCCAGCGCAACGATCTGACGACGACGCACTGTCTCATTGTAGTTCTCCTCCTCGCGTTCCAGTGTCTGCATTGCGTTCATATTGAGCGTACGCTCCATCTTCTCCTTTTTCTCTTGCATCTTCACCAGCTTGTTGCCGGCCTCGACGGGATCCTCTTTGCTGTAATCATAGCGCGTGTTCTTCATGCCAAAGCAATTCTTCTCCTCAGGTATCCAGGGGTATTTAATCTCAAGCGCATCCATTCGTTTCTTTGCGTCCTTTGCCTCGCCACTAATCTTACTCTTTTCGTTTTCCTTCTTCTTCATCTCCAGCTGCAGCTCCTGATTGTGCTTCAGCATTTTATCCTTTTTGTCGAGAAGCGTACGCATTTCCTTATTCTGCGCATGCAGACAATCCTTCTGCTTTTTAATCGCCCTCTCTAGCTCGGCCACCTCTGTAGCTGCCGACGAACTGTTCTGCTGCAGTGCGGCCAGCTCCGCCTTGTACTTATCCAGATTGTCCACCATCTCTTGGTGCTGCTGCTTGGCTTGGTCAATGCTCTTCTGCAGTTCGGTAATTTCCAGCTGCAACGTTTCGAATTCCTGCTCGCGCTTTTTCCAATTCGCACGTGACTTCTCGGCCCGAGCCTTGGTCACCTTCATTTCGTTGCTGACCGCCTTGAGCTCGCGTTCTCGATAGCCTTTTGCATCGGATAGTTTCGCCTCAACATCCTTGACTTTGGCCTGAGAGCTCTTTTGCTTTTCCCGTGCCTCAGCCATCAGCTGCTCCAAGCTTTTCACCCTTTCCTTCATTTCCTCGATTTCCTCCTGATTTTGCTGGAAAGCTGTATGCGCCAAGCGATTCTTGCACATGGAATACTCGTGCTGGCGCAGCTCCAGTGCCTCTTTTATCTTGTTATACTTGTGAGCAACGTGCTCAATAGCACTGCAAAAGCAAACAGGATTATTGAAGAATCTGTCGTGCTACGAGGCGCATTGCTTACCTCATTTGCTGCTCCACCTGGGTTAACTCGTTCATCTTTTGCTTAACTTCCTTCTCCAAATTTCTTATGGAATTCAGTTCCTCCAGTATATTTGCACCCTTGGGTGCTGAGCCACCAGACAAGGTGCCATTCGAGTCCACCACATCACCTTCTAGTGTGACACAACGAGCTCCAATGTTCTTATCTGAGCTTAGCTAAAGAGAGAACAAGTTATTAGTAAGCACTTAGACAGTTGACGCATTAAACTTACTCCTTTGGCAACATCCAAATCTCTGCAAATGAGCGTGCCGCCAAATGCAAACTTCATGACCGGATCAAAGTATTTGTCGTATTCAATTAAGGACATGGCCGACTCCACATTATCGCTTCCGTACTATAAGTAAAGATAAGTGAAAAAGTTGTATAAGTACAGGAATTCTACAAATATAAATTCATGCAGCTTAAAGAATATCTAGTTATAACATCTAATCTATCTATGTTTGTATCTAACTTAAAGAAAGAAAGATCTTTCTTTATATACAACATAAATACAAGTTTTCTTACAGTTGCTTTCGCGTATTCAATAACTTTTGGATTCAGAGGATATGATTTGATCTTGTTGATGGGTATCAGTGTTACGCGACGTTGCAGATTGCCTTTTTGCAAGATCTTCTTGCTCGTCACATCGTCGTCTGTTACAAAGCTGTACAACTGTAAATACAATGTATTAGTCAGAGGAGGATCGCTTGGGTAGTTTATAGTTTATGACACTTACGTGTCCACCAGCTGCCATCATAAGAGCCATAGAGTTTTGCATATCAGAGACCCGAAACAGTTTGCCCACCATGCCGCGCACCTTGTGCCGATCAAAGTTTGGCTCTGGATCGGTGTATTGGAGCTCGTAGCGTGAGCCGCTGCGTCGATCCAAATCGCGTTTCAGATCGCGCACTTGACTATGCAGGAGTTGTCTACGCTCCTTCAATTCTTCAAACTGCCCGCTTTCGTAGTTGAGACTCTCGAGTTGGCGCTCCAAGCTCTTAATCTCTACCTCGAGCTGATCGAGCAGTTGCTTGTCCTTCGTATAGGCTGCGTCGTTGGTCTGCGTCTCGCCTTGCTTCTGATTGAGCAGATTACGCGTGTGGCGTAGCTCCATTTCGGAAGTTTTTATCGTAGTCTGGGCCTCGCTCAACTGTTGCTTGGCAGCTGCAGAGGAAGCGCCAGATTAAATATCAAATAATAGTAACTAAATATAAAACACTTGCCAATTAGCTGTTCCTGCAGAGTACAAGCTTCTCCATCTTCATTGGTAGACAGACCCTGGGATACGGCTTCGAATTTGCGCTGCGCATCCTCGTAGGCCTTTGCGTCCGCCGCATCGGCATCTTTGAGACTCTGGAATTCGCCCTGAACCTGTGACATGGCCTCCTGTTTCTTGCGCAGTGTGCGCTCGTCTTCCGCAATATTTTTACTGGCCATCAGGATTTTCTTCTGATCCTGCTCAATTGTGCCTTTGGCAGCCTTTAGACTGCCCGACGCTGTTGCCTCGGCCGCTCGCTTAGCTGTAAGTTCGGCCTCAAGGGATTTCAGAGTTCCGCCCATTTCGGCGTCTATCTTAAGTTGAATTTCCTGCACCTTCACTTCAATGCGCTCCACTTCCTCTAAATTCTTAGCGTGAGTTTCTTTGCAAGTGGCAATGCGATTCTCGATCTTTTGTTCGGTAGCCTCCACGGACTGCAAGGCATCGCATAGCTTCAGATATCTGGCCGAAATGTGAATATGCGTGAGGAACTCGATGTCGCGACACGTTTTCTGATACTCCTGATAGGCGGCGCGTTCCTTGCGCAGCTTGTCTAGCTTTGGCAGAACTTCCTCCTCCAGCAGAGCCGACGTTTCCCGCAACTTGCCCTCCTTCTTTTCGATAAGGGTCTTCGTCGCATCACGCTTCGTCTTGTACAGGCTGGTGCCGGCCGCTTCCTCGACCATGGACAGCACCTGAGTAAGTATGTATAAAGAATCCTCTTATAACCACAAATGGTATTATTGCTTACCTCCTTGGGCTTCATGTTCAGCACTTGTTGAATCTTGCCCTGCATAATCAAAAAATTCGGATTGTTGACATTGAGCTGCATGGAGCAGAAGAAGTCTTGCACCTTCTTGTTCTGTACCAGCTTGCCATTGATCAGAAACTTATTCTTGCCGCCGACAACCACTTGACGCGTCACCGAGATCTCGCGGCACTTCTCATATCCGGGCGGACATTGCTGCGCATTAGTATTATCGAATACGATTGTGACCGTTGCCTTCGTGATGCCCGCTTGGCCATTCTTATAGACCAAATCTTGCAGCGCAGATGCACGCACCTAAGAGAAATAAATATATTAGTGTAACCATAACACCTTTGTATTTTAATAATAATTAATGGTACATACATTTTGCAAATTGCTGATGCCAAGCACAAAACAAATCGAGTCCAAAATATTTGATTTGCCTGAACCGTTTAGACCTGTTATGGCCGTAAATTCTGGATCGAATCCTTCGATTTCAGTGCGCCGGCCATAGGACTTGAAGCCATCAAGCACTAACTTCTTCACATACATTTTGTCTGTCCTCTATTACCAATTAGCTGTTATTTAATTCGTCTTTGCCTGCCATACAAACTTGCAACGGCGTTTCTGCCGCCGTTTTTTCAGAATTGCGATGCTGACGCTAGCGATGTGAGAAGCATACGAAGTATCGATACAAAAATGAAACGATGTTGTGCCAGTCATATGTTCATCGATGTTCGTTCCATTTTCGATATTTATCAAATTAATTTGAATTCTTATATTTAGGGAATTTTAAGTTATAAAATATGCTGCTGAAATTCCTAAACCTAAAAATTTTATGAATTTTATAAAAATCTTTGCATTGAAATTTAACTATAAGTTAGCATTACATATCGACATTTCAATATATTTTCAATTTATAAATTATTTTCTAAAAGTTGATTTCTTTATTTACTACAGCAATAAGAGACAATGGAATTTTTTGAAATTTCTGATTTAGCTGTTCAATTACTGACTTATACAAGAAACCAAATTGAATGAAATTTGTTTAGCTTCAACAATTTAGGTCAACCCCCAAAAACTCCATTGTTTAAGCATATACAGTTAATTATTCCGTTTTTATTCACATGCTCCTCGTACTGAAGTGAAGAGACGCGCAAATGTTTTCAACTTGTACAAAATATCTAATCCAATTTGAAAAGCAGCAGAAAGCTTAACGGTACGACTTCTGGTAACGGGCACGGGCGCCTGGACCGCCGAACTTCTTGGGCTCGCAGCGACGTGGATCGCCTACCAGCAGAGTTCTGTCGTATTGGACCAGAATGTCCTTGATTTCCTTCTTCGAGGCCTCATCGACGTCTGCAAAGGCATAAACAAAAAGCGAAATAAATTAGTAAACTCGTTTTAAACTAATTTCAAGAATTCTTTTAAATATCTAAAGGTGTCGATGTAGCCCCAAATGGGAATTGCAATGATCAATGCATATCGCTCGCTTTGATTGCCACATTCATTTAATCTCCCTTGCACTTTTCTTTCGCTGGCTCTGGCATTGGATTCCAACAAAAATCTGGTAGAAGGTGAACTTAACTAACTTATTTTTGATTGATTTCTTCATGTTTCTGCTGCATCACCCAATCTGTGCTAGAAGTTTGCATGCAGCTTGGTTGGTATATGCTCATAATGGTGTTTTCTCTAGCCACATTTATTCATTTGCCTGAAAGACGATTTCTTTCAAGCAAAAACTTTACTGGGGCGGACACACACAGAGCTCTCGGTTAGATACTCACATTTCTGATAGAAGGCAACCAGGGCCTTGGAAATAGCCTGACGGATGGCGTAGATCTGGGCGACATGACCACCACCGCTGACGCGCACGCGGATGTCAACACCAGCGAACTTCTCCTGCAAGGCAGAAATAATTTTATGTTCATTAGAATTCTGCTTTAAATTGTCTATTTAATATATATCAAAAAAGGCGCAATCAGTAACAAATGTATTCTCATTGGTCTTCAAGTTCGGGATAATTGTTATCATCATTGTATGACCTATCGGAATCACTGTTACATTGTCGTCGGACACTCACCTTGCCGAGCAACAGGAGGGGCTCCTGCAATTTGTATTGCAGCACTTTAGGCTCAATCTGGTCCAGAGGGCGTCCATTCACCTTCAGGAGGCCGCTGCCACGCTTGCAGTAAGCGACGGCGGTGGCGGTTTTCTGCAATAGAATTGCACAATTCATTAGTAACAATTACCAAATGGAAGTCAACTACACCGAATTCATCACACAAACATAACCTCTGCAACGAGCGTCGGTTTTTGTCCGTCGTCGGCGCCGTTGGCACACGTGCAATAAATTTCATGTTTTATTTAGTCTATTTTACACACACCTTGCGTCCGAATACCTGAACGGCCTGCACGGGTTCTCTGCGCTAGAAATATAAATAATTGCAACATTTTTGTTGTTAGTTGACGACATTTTGTACATTTTTCACAACCACAAATACCTTTTGCTGCATTTTGCTCCGCGAGTTGGGTAGAAAAGAGCGGAAGTGTGAAATTCAACATTGAACTGTAATTTCTAGTTTCCATTTCGACATCTAGAGGGCGCATTTATTACTTTTTACAACACTGACAAACGGTGACAGCTCTAAACTAAAATCAACAATTACAAATTTTGCATTCATTTCAAAAGTTTGTCAAATTAATAAGAATATATCTAATTTTTAGATACATTATACGATCACGATATACAACAAAAAATACATTTCTTGTGCACCTTTTTATCCCTGTTCGCAGAGCCAGTGACATCTGTAGAGCAAATATTGTTACATTTGAAGTATCTAATAAAATAACTATAGTTTATTGCTCTTCAATCAAAAATCCTTGGTAGCTTATTTAACTTTATTATATATTATCGTGCAAAAGTTAATTTTGTAATTTGAATTTTTAAATTACGTGGTATCAATGTTTGCTTGTTTTGTGAATGTCACATGTCTCTGTTATGTTAACTAACACCTCTGTTTTGCTATTTCGCTCTTCTTCTTACTCAAGTGAAGTACATACGTACGTACTTTGTTCAATCAATTTTTTTCTGTAAAAGTGTTAAATTTGCATAAAATAAGCCCAAATTAGTAAAGCTTTGTAAACATGGTTGTCTGCGCCATGCAGAGCTACACGACAGATGAACAAATAAATGGCTGCAGCGCAATGAAGTCCTCGCACGCCACAGAAGTCCCAGAGCCCGAAGTTCTCGAAAATGGAAATGATGCCGAAGAGGATCGAGAGGAGGGCGAAATAGTTGATGAGTTCGAGATGATCATTTCCTCGGAGGATGAGGAATTCAAGCTACGTGCCCGCATACAGCAACTGGAGGATAAGAGCAAAGATATCGAAAAGATGGATATGCTCTCCGCCAATCTGGCCAATCAATACAGTAAGCATTGTCCAAATGATGTGAATGTGAAGCAACATGTCCCACTTTTGCTTACCTGTGTATATACATACATAAATATATATATGTGTGTGTGACTGTTGACCTTGCATAGTTAAAGGAAGTCAGTGCCTGATATCTGTGTGAGGGTGTGTGCGTGTGATTGGGAGGCTTTTACTGTAATATTGCAATACAGTTATGCCTGTTTGTATGATTCATTATATATATATTTGGAGAGATGGCATTGCAATCTGAAGTCGTTTTGTGAAATGTAAATATTGAAATAAATAATTATCAATGGCTGCGTTCTTTCTAGGTTATCAGCGGCCTCAGAGAATGGAGAGATTTTCTCAATATCAGCATTTCTCACCAATTAGTGTTCTCTCCGATGTGTCCAGCCTGTCGGAGGAGGAGTACGATGTGCCAAAGAAATACCGTAAGCATAAAATGAAAAAGAGTGAGAGCAGAAGGTACGGCTCCATGTATAGACGGAATCCATTCACGCATCGCACTCATCGCCGAAAACGACGTCACGAGCATCACAACAATCAATATGGTCAGCACTCACATCATCATCAACCGCCATCTACCATCTTGCTCGATTCCCTGGACAGCCTAACGGAAGATGAGATCTGTGAGTACGACCTGAATGTGGAGACCGAGAACGATGAGTACGAGGAGCGGCTGAAAGTCAGCCGTAATAAGCTGCGCATGGCGCTAGCTCGCGATGGCAACTACGATATCAAGCCCAAGCACAGTCTCAGGGAGCGGCTTCAGTGCCGCATACGCAAGTCACCAAGTCCCAGTCGAAATCAAGACGACAATCAGCTGAAAGTGGATAATCAACTGCCGCACAACTCATTTAATGGCTACAGTCAGCATCGTATGAACAAAGAGGAGGTGGAGGAAAACGATGAGCAACAGCAGCAACAGGTGTCGCCAGTCGAAGAGCCTCCAGAGCTCAAGTTGCGTCTCATTGCTCTCAAATCGGCTATATTAAAGAAACACATGGCCCGAAAGAAGCGGGATGCCGAACGCGCCTACTCACCCACGGATATGATTAATCGGGTGCATCAGCCGAAGAACAACAACGAATGTGATGATATCGATGATCTCATGGAAATAAGTCCGGCTGCTTCGCCGGAACGCAACACGTACAGCCCGCCACAGACGCGTTTAACGGAGCCCGTGGACATGGATCTGGCGCAGACGGACAGTGATGAGGAGAGACAACAGTGGAACGCCAACTGGCAGTCGACGATGGATAACGCTGGAGGCAGTTGGCGTTGCTTTATGCCCAGCTCTCTGCCGCCCGTTTCCATGCCCATTGTGATCGATGACGACGATGACGAGGAGCTGGAGCCAGTGCAGCCCCAGGAGAAGCAGTTCGACGACGACGATGACGAGGTGCCGCCGCCTCCGCCGTCATTTCACATTCCGCATATGCAACTGGAGGATGACGATGCCAGGGATGCTCTGCATTTGAGCGAACGGCACTCGCAGCAGGGCTGCATCAGCGACATCCAATCCATATCCATGGACAACTCCCAGACGCAGACACAGACTTCACGTCCATTCCAGCACGAATCCAGCGAAGACGAGGCGGGTGCGCTGCGTGCCATGCTGCTGTCCAAGCTGAAACCAGCAGCGGATCTGGAGACGGTCCCTAAAAAAATGCGCCTGCCAGCTGCTGTGTCGAATGAAGCTGTGACGCATGATTCCGATGATCCCGAGGAGCTGCGTCAGTTGTTGCTTTCAAGCATTGCTTCCAAAAAGAGGAATTCAACCGAGAAGACGACCGATAGTCCGGAGATCCTTAAGAATGCAGTGCGTCGCTTCAAGACTTCCTCTTTGCAGTCTACGCCGGACGAGAGTCAAACGGATGTGCTCAGCGAGCCAGCTCCACAAACTTATGCCCATCCACAGCCCGTGGCAGTGTGTCCACCATCTTTCGCACCTCAGCCCGAACCTGAACCCCTGTCATTGCCTTTGCCTGCACCCGCGCCTGCCCATGTACCTGTGCCCGTACCCAAACCTGTTACAGAAACTGCTCCACAAGTTAATGTGGAGGCAGCACCAGCTGTGCCCGCACCCAACATACCCGCCCCCTCGATCATTCCAGCAGCGACGAGCATAATCAAGATCGTGAAGCCCAACAAGGTAATCAACAAGAAGACGACGCCCAAGCGCAAGCTGCCGAAGTCGATGGACCAAGCAACTGCTCCCAAACGTCCGTCGACGCTGCTGGTCAAGGAGTCAGTGGCGCCGCTGCACAAGAGTAACAGCAGCAGCTCCACGCGTCTGATAACCACACTCGATCCGGCTAGCATCAAGGTCAACAAGCTTGTCATCGCCCTGGCCGAGTCATCCGCCGGCAGCGACGATGAGCTGGAGCTGAGAAGCAGCCAGGCCTACAGCTGCTATGCGAGTCCCTTCAGCCAGGCCATGGACAGTGCCAGCAGCTCCACAACTCGCTCGAATACCCCAAACTCGGAGATCGTAGAAACAACGGCACCCAACAACTCCAATTTGAGACGCACTGTCATCAACGAGTACTTTGAGAAGAAACTGGATGACTATCTCAAGCAGGCGCGCTCCAAGGTGCCCACAGCGCTGCCCACGGAAGCCAATGCCAAGCCAACACCAAAGACGGACCAAACTTCCGAGCAAGCTACCAAAACCGTTCCTCAAACGCCTGTCGTTCCGCAAAAAGCAAAGCCAACGCCTGTGGTATGTATTGATAAGAGTGCTCTAGTCGCTACTCTGCTCGACTAGAAGATACCCTGCCAGGAACTGATATTTCAGTTCTTTTCAGCTTTATTTTATTTATGATAGGGATGACATTTTTAGCAATTAGTTTCCAAAAGCTGAACAAGTTTTGCATCCATTGAAATATATAGTTTTTTTTCTTTAATCAGGGTCCTCAACATAGCATCTATCGAAAGCATGATTGCATATCTAGAGAGATTCCCACGAAGACGTGGGAAAAGTCTTTTGCGATGACATTATGTTTAAATTCTAAAGGAAAGAGCAGAAATATTAAATCTCGAAATGAAATTGAAGTCTATCACAGTCAATATCCAATCCCAAGTCGCTAAGCCCTGAGTTCATTTCTAGGTAGACTTTAGGATTTTATAAGTTATACAGCTGAACCGACTCATGCTTGACAATGAAATAAGAATTGACCAATTTGTTTTATAGCTGAAACGTTTAAGCGAATGATGATTGATATAAATAAATAAAGGTAGCTCAGTTAGAACCAGCTTCAAGTAGTATAGATAAGCATAAAATCAGTTTGTTTTACTAAATTCATCATTGAGTGTTAAAGCAAAGGCGATAATGTGATGCCCCTCAGGAGCGAAAGCGTGAATAATGTTGTCTTAGTTACATAATATATAATGTATATATTTGTATACAGTTTATACACAATTAGATAAACTAAAGTACACATTTTTAATCTTTAGGCTGTGCGTCATTTGCCGGTGGCATCACAAAGGGAGTATCTGCGTCTGATTGAGCGCATGCGGCTGCTGGAGAAGAAGAAGATGGGAGGCGCTAAGCCGATCAATGGCCAAACGACAACGTCTGCAGCAACTGCTGTTGTTAAAGAGTCCTCTTCGATTGTAATTAAGGAAAAGATTTCGGGAGCCGTCAGCCTTACAGCGAAAACGAAAACAGCCGCAGTTGCGCCCAGCAAAGCTGTCAAGACGGCCATGGTTGATGCTTCTGCCAATGCTGCCAGCGATTCGCCAAGCACGTCGACAGCAGCAGCGGCAGGCAAGGCAAACCAGCCTTCGAAGGAGAGTCGACTCAAGGCATTCGAGAGCTCATTTCAAAAGATCGGGTACTTATGCTCATACACTCGAATACACACACAATCTCAAATTACGTAAATTATAGAAGCAGCATGATTGTCAACCTGGATAAGTCCCTGAATATGGTGGAGGCGGCGAAGAGGTCAAAGACCGAAAGGCTGCGGCACTCGCAGCGCCTGAAAGAACTGCACGCCGAGATACAAGCCGTCAAGCAGGCGGTCAAGCTGGAGGAGTCGAAGCTGGCGCGCTTACAGCCTGAGATACAGGCCACGCATGAGATTATTATATCACTCAAGCAGAAGCGCAACAAGCTGCGCAACGCTGCCATGGACCTAGGCACTGGCCTCTTGGGCGCCGACTACAGGTACTACAACAACAAGAACAACAACTACAACGGCAACAACAGTAGCAGTAGTTGCTGTGGACCGCAACGCAAAAGGGGCCAACATATGTCGTGGGATCGCCGGAATCTGCCAAAACGGACGCGGCAATTCCAATATATTGCAGTTTTGCTATAGTTTATCCTATTTACAGGTTACTGGATCCGGCCAAGCCAGAAATAACACGCAAATCCATGGAGCTAACCAGGGAGATTCGTGCGTACAATTCGATTGTAAAGTACGACGCACAAGCCAAGCCTTCCTCGGAGTCGGTAGAACAAGTTGAGCAAGCACCTGCAGCTAGTGAAGAGAAACCATGCGAACAGCCCGCTCTCAGCTGCAAGAGCAGCAATAGTCAGCCGGACGCTGCAGAGGCGAAACAGGAGTCTGACACTGAGGCAGAGGCGCAGCCAGTGTTATCTGCAACGGATGAGCCTGAAGGAGGCGCAGCAGCGACTTCAGCGACACAGCTGGACATTGATGTGCGTGGATTTAAGATATTGTTCTATTGCTTCCAAAACATTATTTTAAGAACTAGTCTCAAACCGCAGACTGTTTGTAAACGCTAACTGTGCTAACCCATACTAACAAATCGGTTGAGTTTATTTGCAGACTGCACCAGGAAACGTAGCACCGGACGCTGGCGGAGCCCCCGGAGAGACACCACAAATTGTTAGCTTTATGCGGGAGCTGGATGAACCGCCCGTTAAGCAGTCACTTCTGAGCGAGTACCGCACGCCCATGTCGCGCAACTACAGCAGGTGTGTGAATCCTGTGAAGTGCTCGTTATCCAAATCCATTTGATTGCCTCTCCCAATGCTTTTCAGTCAATTGAATGTGAATGCCACCATCTGTCCCTTCGAGTTGATGGGTCGATGTGAGGACTCGGACTGTTCCTACATGCATTTAACACGTGCCTCATCCCCAGAGGCTGTCGCTGCTGTTGCTGCGGATGCCGTCGTCGACGGCGATGGTGACGTCGACGTCGCCGCCGCTGCCGCTGCCGCTGTAAAGCAGTGACAACAATTTTGTTGTATAAAACTAGATAATCAAATAACATTCTAATTAGCGTGCTTGAATTCTGGTAAGTTGAACTCTTCACGCGACTTTATATTTAAATGTTGCTTTCAGTCAGCGAGAGTCATAGCTACAACAATAACATATAGTGCTACAACAACAATAACAACTAGCACTATAACAACAACAACTGCAAAATAATGTCAAACAAAAAATTGTTTGACTAAAATGAACCGAGCTATGATAGGAGTGGATCGAGTGACTAAATATAGTATATATATAGTTTCTTGTTGAAACATTGTTTGTTATATACATTTATTTGTCTGTCGTACAGTTACGAATCACGTGGTGTTGTAAACTAGTGCAAGTTCGATCAAGTCGGGCCGGCCGCTTTAAAAGCCGTTCGAACGGATTGTGCATTTTATTTTAATTTGCTTCAAATTTGTTTGCCATATGGAAAACCCCCCACTAAAAAAATCGAAAACAAAATATTTATAAAAAAAAAAAAACAAAAATCAAAAAATCAACAACAGCATGAACTGTAATATAGTATTTGTCGTTAAGTTAAATCGGATGCCCATTTATATACATATATGTATGTGTGTACAAACATATACATATATATGTTTTGCCTAGCCGATGTACATATCTAATAATTTTTTATTTCTTCTTTCTGTGCATCTATTCGAAAATGCAGCTCAATCATTATTTCAATTCGATTTTAAATATTCATTTAAAGAACAATTGTAATTATTATAAAGTTTTTGAAAAATATTAAATACAAACTAAAAAGAAATTTTACATAAATAAAAATATATAAATAAAATTTCCTTGAGTGTATTTTAATGGGAAAAGGCTGGGATTATAAAGAATTGAGATAAAATTATATTTGCTTGAATTCTAATGATAAGATAAATGGGTTGCTCATAGGCACCAAATGATATTCGTCATGAGAACACTCACGAATTAAAACTCATGTAAGAGGCTGCTATTTCATTTCAATTACATTGTATCGAATATGTATTTTATGTAAATATTTTTAATTTAATAAGAGGAAATGTTTATAAATAATTGAATGAAATTCTATTCAACGTGATTCCGGCACGTCGTAATAGCGAGCACGAGAGCACGAGATGAAAGTCATGTGAGAATACAATGTCTCTGTAGCTAATTGGATTTCGTCATCAATTATGTTGAAGAGGTTTAAGTCTGGTTCGTATACATGTACATTCAAGACGAAGACTAAAAATATATCTATAATCATAATGTTTCACTAAAAAAATTTGATTATTGCAAATAATAATTGCTGTATATATGTTATATTTTATTATAGAGACTGTTCATGACTAATAGCGTTACACAAAAATAGTTTGAAAGCAATATTCAGATAATATATTTTCTATATAAAGAAAAATTATCAATGATATAAGATATAAGAAAATACCAAAAATATACCAAGTAAATTTATTTCGGAATTTCATATGTTTCAAATATTAACAAAAATTTACACCATTGTAAAATATAGGACATTTGTATACAAATATTAGGAAAAATATAAAAAAATTCCCGACCAGTTTTAAAACATTAGAAAAATATCCAAATTAAAATTCAGGACTCTGTAGAACAGTTCTCTCAAGCTTTTCATATGATAATACAAAATAGTCTTTTTATTGTTGTCTTATGCACAGTACCGTTACATAGTTTGTTTATTTCTAGTTACAATTAGTTTTGGGTAAGTGTAAAAACTTTAATATTGCCTAAAATATCACAGCCAATGGATCCGCATTGAGAGCAGGATGCAAGGAATTTCAATTGGATTTGGGCAAGTAAGTAAGCTAGGTGATATATAGGCGATACCCTAAACCTGATCACCAGACCTGGACCATTCAAACCAAACCCCATTCCTCCTTCAATAGCCTTCTTCGTTGTTATAGTAGACGTACTCGTGGCACCACACCTTGATGTCGTCGTCGTTGTTACAGCACATGGGATAAATGATCTGGGACTTGGTGATCTTGGCACAGCGCATGCACAGCTCCATGGTGGCCTGATCCCGCTCGCACTGCTGCACCTTCAGTATGGTCTCTGGCGGCAGATTCCCTGGATAGTCGCTGGGATCCACCTTGGACACGCTGGCCACATCCTCAGACGGTCTGCACTGGCATATGGCGAGACACGCGATCAGCAGCAGCAGCGTGAACACCTTGTTCTCGAATCTCTGAAAGGCAGAGTAGAGCACTTAATTAACCAAAAATCCGATTGCGACGACCGATCATGTGATACGGTTAGAAATTCTGGTGCATGTCGCAGCCACTGACCCTATATAGTTATAAATTTGAATTATGAATTGTGTATAAAGTGTGGACAGGCGACTCTATCTGGTTCTAGTTAGTTTGACAATTACATTTTATTAAAGCAGCTCAAACAAGATTTTATGAAAGTGATATCCAGTAGAAGAGTTGGCTAAATGAGCCAGAATTGTGAAATTTAGGATCCATATTTTAAATGGTAAAGTTATTCAATTAACTTAACTAATAGTGCATGAAAATTAATTTTTTTTTTTATTTTCACTCTTCTTGTTTGTCAAAAAAGATGTTAATCAATTATATTTTAATTAGCATTTCTATATACATATATTCTCTAATACATATACATTTTGAATTATGTTGATTAAAAGTGTCTAGCATATATGCATGATTATCATTGATTTATTTTGAACTTCATATATGGCTTTTCAAACACACAACACTTGCATCTGGTTTGCAGAACTGTTCTTTGACTTTCATGGAAATAGTTTCATGAACAGAAAGGGGTATATTAGTTTTATGCTCGGTGTTTAGAGTTCCTTGAAAGTCAGCCGATCACACGATTCTTATCTTCAGACAATTCTTATCACAAAAACCTATTTGTAGAGCATCGCACAGTCTGTAGCAACCGAATCGCTAATATACTCACTTTTTGAACCATTCTGTTTGCGTGCTAATACTAAATAGAGACGTTCGACTGCTGGACGTGAAGTTGATTTGTTCTTAGTGCTTGATTGCTATGTGAATTGAAGGCAGAGCCGGCAGCAACTGGAAGTCCCCACCGACAGCGTCTAACGTTTTATATCATCAAACATCGCACCCACGATGCCTGGAAACAGTGCTTCGGCAGCAATATCGGCTCCATTCGGGAGCATCGACATCGGGCATTGGTCGGTTCTATAGATCGCATTCGAATACTGAGATTAAGGCACGCCTGCACACTCTCACCCTCGCTCCCCGTTCTCGCGCTCTCTCTCACACTCTCTGGGTTGCAGCTCAAGTGAATGACCAAAAAAATGTGATTTACAAAAGAAAACAAATATTAAGAGGTGTAACCTAGATTGACCGCAACATATTCTATATTCTAGGTATTTATTAGAACTCATTGCTTAAAGTAATGTCGAATCGACGTACAATTAAATAATAAAATAAAACTGAAATTTATTTATATTTACATTCAAATCAATTTAATTTTAATTGCTTTCTATGCGACTTACTGGTTGAAAAGTTCAAAGCAGCCAATTCAAATTAAATAGAAACAAATATGCCGCAAGCACTGCACACATGCATACACATGTATGTACACGTACACAAGCATATCATATGCCGCATATGCAAATAAAGCAAGCCATGGTTGAAGCTTTCACTGCCCACATTGCTGTATGTTAATTAGGTCGTCTCGCTCTAACATACGTGATCCTTGGCATACAGTAGTAATGGCGTAATTCGTTTACATTTGCCTGTTATGCATATGCATAGAATATACGTATGTATTTATGTATATGTATGTATGTATAGCATACTTACAATTTGTGAAGAGAAGCTTTACAGTGAAGAGAAGCTTTAATGAAGCGCGACATTTTACTTAAGCAGCATAAATAAAAACGTTTTATTAAAGTTAAAGATTAATTATTATTGAATGGTAGGCAATAATATCATTTATTATAATATATTAAAAGCCCATTATTTCAAATTTGTTATTAATGTGTAAAGCGTTACTTTTAAGCACTTATTTATATTGTATGTACATACATATGTATACTGTATTTACCGTTGCCCTATATAATTCTTGTTTAACAGAAATGTGTTTCAGACACTAACCAAAACAAATTGACATTATACTTAATTATAATTAACCGGATTAATTATCCATATACTCCTCTATCTATATATCTCTATCTATCTCTACTACCCCATCTATATACCAACTTTTTGACAGTTTCATGAAGTAGAATATTTTCGAATTTGTATTCCAAAGCTAACATATGTAAATAAATGTAAAATGAAATTTCAACAGTGACCTTATGTATTTAACATTTACTGCTTTCACTTACAGAGTGTCAACAGCATTTTCTGACAGCTTTTACAGCAACAACTGACATTACCTAACCAGGAGCAGAAGCGAGAGACCTGACAACAGTTTTCAAATATTTTCGTTTCTGAGTAATGCAAAATTGTGTCACAATCAGAATATTATTTCGAGGTAAATTCAAATTGTAAATAATCGCGCGATATGTTGAACTGTGTCTATGCGGGTCTGAGATCGGGCGTTAGGGCTCAACTGGCCGGAGTAGCTATCCCAAGGAATAACTGGTATCGCAATGGGCGCGACGAGCGCAACTATAAGGTGACCGTCGTGGGCGCCGGAGGTGGGATTGGCCAGCCGCTATCGTTGCTGCTCAAACAGAATCCGCTGATCCACCAGCTGACCCTGCACGATCTGTCCAAAACAAAGGGCGTGGCCGCTGACCTGTCGCACATCTGCACACCGACACAGGTCGACTTCTTCGAGGGCGTGCAGCAGCAGGCATTGATCGATGCGCTGCAGGACTCGCATCTGGTCGTCGTATCAGCGGGACAGCCCCGCAAGCCGGGCATGACGCGGGGTGAGCTGCTGAGCACTAATGCCGCTGTAGCCATGGCTGTGGCCTGTGCCGCGGGCATCTCCTGCCCCCAGGCCTTGCTCGCCTTCATAACGAATCCCATCAACATGTTGGTGCCCATTGCGGCGGAGTTTTTGAAGGTGAAAGGCGTTTACGATCCGAAGCGTCTGTTTGGCATCACAACTCTGGACGTAGTGCGCGCCAAGACTTTCATAGCGGACTTCATGAACCTTAACCCAGCCATGGTGGATATACCAATCATCGGTGGCCATTCGGGCGACACCATACTGCCGATCTTCTCGCATTGCTCACCACCATTCACGGGCAACGAGGAGGACGTGGAGCGTCTGACGAATCGGATCCAGCAAGCGGGCAACGAGGTGATCGAGGCGAAGGCTGGCCAAGGCTCGGCCACCCTCTCCATGGCCTTTGCCTCGGCTCGGTTTGTCAGCGCTCTGCTGCGCGGCCTGAACAACGAGGCGAATGTCATTGAATGCGCCTACGTGGACTCCGATGTCACCGAGCTGCCGTTCTTTGCCACGCCGGTGCTGCTGGGGCCCAATGGCATCAAGGAGAATCTGGGCCTGCCCGAGCTGAATGCGGTGGAGCAGGATGCGCTCGAGAAGATGCTGCCCGAGCTGAGTGAGAGCATTAAGACGGCCATACAATTTGCCCAGACTGTGATCAAGGACTCCAACCTGGAGCAGGACCAACGCAAGGCGGATGCAGTCAGCCGCAGTTCCGATTCTACGCAACTAGCACAGAACAACTAGGAAGTATAGCTAGCTCTGCTGGCAGCTAATCTGCAGCCGGAATCTTGACGCAGTTCCTCATTCATTAAATTAAATCACAAACACTATAAATACACACGCACACACACACACACACAGACATGCACACACATATGCATGCGCATGTGCATACTATATGTATGTATGTGAAACTAGTATGCTAGGTTGGGGTCGTCGCAGTCAATTGGTGAAGCATCGTCATGTTGCTGATAAGTGATTGCATAGCCGCCTGCTGATTACTGATGCTGGCATCTCCAAGGGGAATCCGTGCCAAAGTTTCCCTGATGCAATCCGCCGGCCCATCCCATCCATGCATTTCACTCAATTCACTTGTTGTTGTTCGCGCTGTTCGAAAATATCCATTGGAAAACTTTTCAGAAATGATATCACTAGACGTACGGTTTCCCCGTTTTAATTCAATTAATTCATTCATTGATCGAGCTCAGTTTGCAACTATGTATGTAATTCAATAAATCAATAAACAAGCTTACATAATCAAAATAAAAATCCCCCAAAGAAAATATGCGTCACAAAGCTAAAATCAATTTCGCAATAAATTCATTCTGTCAACTTTCCATCAATAACTGGCCAGCTAAGGAAAACATGGGTATTTACAATATGTATGTACATATATATGTACATGTTTATATATTGTATATTCTATGCCCACTGGTAGGACCGCAAGACCGTTCGTTAGACTAATTAAAATTTATTGCCCCAAATCCCAGGAACTCGCACTAATTATTGAGATCTTTATCGCACATTCATACTAAAATTGCTGTGAATTCAATAAGATTGGATCATATTTTCGATTTATTGCTGTGAGAGGTTACAACATTAAATAAATAAATAAGCTTCAAATAAATAAATAATTTTATTAAAATATTTTATGTTTAAGATCATCTATTTTATAATCTAATGGTAAAAAAAAAACATGAAGTTTGGGTTAAAAACATGTATTAATTATATACATACATATATTTAATAGGTAAGCCAAAATGAGGTTAACAAATATGAGTTCTTATAAAATATATTTAAGCTAGATTTTTGCCTGATTTTTCTTTGAATCATGAGCCAAAAACATTAAAATTTATTATGATAGTACTCAAGAGGGAAGATATAATTTTTGTCAATTTTCTACGACTCCAAAATATATAGTATATAAATATATAATTATAAATAAGCCACAATAAAACTAATAGTAAAACTGTAACCGCAGACTTTTGGATGGGTACGCCCCTTATAAGCTTTAAACAGGGTATTATACAAAGAATAAGAGAGGTGGTCTTGGGAAACCCCATGAAGTATCATGATAAAGAGCAGTAATTCAAAGTCGACAGTTGTATTTAAAATACGAAATTATAATAATAAGGTTTAATTAATAATTTAAATTAATATATACTATTTTTACGAATGTAATTATCATTTTATTTTATATTTACTGATATTTATAGTTTAAAATATAGAATACTCTTATTTTTTTAGAATTAAACATATTATTTTTGTCAATATTATTAATAAGTTTAGTCAAATTATTATTATTATTATTATTATTATTATTATTATTATTATTATTATTATTATTATTA